TCATCCAGCTCTACATCTTGTTATCTCAGATTCTCCAGCATCTGCAGTTCCTACTATCTTGGGAAATATATTTCCCAGGTTTTCAGTAGCAGGTAGGGAAGTGCGACTAAAATAAGTGCTCGTCCAAAAAACAGCATGGACAAAATGGGCCAAATGGCCTTCTCCTGGGAACCACAATAAGTAGAAGCAGGCATAGGTCATTATCAGCATCTCGAACCAGCTCTGCCATTTAGTGAAATCATGGCTAATTTTCCATCTCAATGCCATTTTCTCCACAATCCTCATAACCCTTAATAACTAAAATCTTGAAATCTCTCAATCTTTATCTTGAATTATCCTGTAACTGAGGCTCCACAATCACTGCAGTAGAGAATTCCACACATTCACCACCCTCTGAGTGAAGAAAGACTTCCTCATCTCAGTCCTACATAGCCTACTTCTTATTCTCATATTGTGTCCCCTATGTTCAGACTCCCCTGAGTTAGAGGAGACATTCTTTCTGAATGTACTTTGTAGAACCCTGCCAAACCTTGTTTCCTCAAAGAGATCGTCTCTCATTCTCAGTAACTCAATTGAAAAATGCAAGATCTTTCTTCCAATGCATAGAATGGACACTGGAATAATGTTTCCTTTTGTGGAACTTGGAGACATATTTTAAGTATAGGGGTTTCGCTCTTTTGAGAGAGAGAGGAGGAGAAACTCTTTGTCTCAGACAGATGTTAGATTGTAAAACTCTCTTCCTCAGCAGATAGCGGAGGCTAGGTTCTTAAATTTATTTGATGCTGAGTTGGCTACATTTCTGGTAGGCAAGGGAGTCAAGGGTTATAAAATACAGACAGTAAAATGGAGCTGAGACCACAATCATATCTTATTGAATAATGGAGCGGGCTGAAACAGCCAGATTGAGTACTATTGCTCCTAGGTGTATGTTTATATGATTGTTCTAAATTCTAGAGAATGTAGATGTAGTCTCCTCAACCACTCCCCAGAAGACAACCCCATCATCCCAGGGATCAATTTGGTGAAAACTTGTTGCTCTTCCAATTGGACAATTATATCCTTTCCTAGTTAAGGAGACCAAAGCTGTAGAGTTTAATTAATATGTAATCAGCAATTAATTAAATAATATAAGAAATGCTAAGACAGGTAATGTGTGGCAACTGCAGAATGTGGGAGCTTTGCTCCTGTTTTTGTCCATACTGCACAGTTTAAGGAAACTTCACTTTTATTGTTTCAATCCACATGCATGCCTCAGTCATGTTAATAGCCACCTGTCAATGACCATGGACCACATCAGAAGATTCTATCCTATGCGGTTTGACCACTTCCTGGAGCAAAGATGTCCAGGTATCTTCTACCTTCTTGATGAGTAGCAGAGTCATCATCCTAAATTTTAAAATTTTTTTTTATTTCACCTATTTTTCTAATCGACCTAATCAGAGATGTTATTACACATTTCTGGTGCAGGTGATACTTGAACCTGGGCCTCTCAGTCCAGGAGTAGGGACACTACTGCTGCACCACAAGATGCCCTGGCCTTCACCTTCATGACTCTGAGCCAGATTTGCTCCAGCTGCAGACTTTTACCACAAGTATATTTACTATGTATCACAGAGGTGTCCATGTGCTCCCACATTTGTAACAATCATTTGTTAAATATATCTGTTTTCATTATAAATGGCATGAAATATCTGCCAAAGCATTGACATACAAAAGTCACATATGAAGGTAGCGTGCACAAAACATACTTTATATCTACTCACCTGATTTTCTGATCTCACTGTGCATGTACCTGCTGTACTCTATTGACAGGGCAGGATGGGGGAAGTTGGACGATCTGCAGGACAGCCTCGTTTAATGTATTCAATTCAAGAAGCCTCTTGTGTGTCTGATATTTCTGCGATAAAGATTTAGGAGTGTTGTAACATATTTAACAAGCACTTCCAATGCCAGGGATTGCACATGACATAGTCCACAGTGACATTAGAAGGAACAAATGTGTTGTACCTATATCATAGTAGAGCATTAGTGATACTATGCAGCTTGTACACAGTCTTGTATGCTCCTCAGCTTCAAATATTTGACCAATTTCACTCTACAAAAATGCAGTGTTCTCTCTTCAGCCACACCTTGTTACAGAGAATTCCAGCTCCAGGGCATTTCCGCAGGGGTTCCTCAGGATAGTGTCCTCGGTCCAACCATCTTCACATGCTTCAATAATGACCTTCCCTCCGTCATAGGGTCGGAAGTGGGAATGTTCACTGATGATTGCACAGTGTTTAGCACAGTTCGCGACTCCTCAGGTACTGAGGCAGTCCATGTTCAAATGTAACATGATCTGGACAATACTCAGGCTTGGGCTGACAAGTGGCAAGTAACATGTATGCCACACAAATGCCAGGCAATGACCATTTCCAATAAAAGACAGTCTAATCGCTGCCCCTTGACTTTCAATAGTATTATCATAATTGAATCCCCTACTATCAACATCCTTGGGGTTACCATTGACCATAAACTCGACTGAACTCACCACATAAACACAGTGGCTACAAGAGCAGGTTAGCGACGAGGAATACTGCAGCGAGTAACTCAGCTCCTGTCTCCCCAGAGCTTGTCCACCATCTAGAAGGATCAAGTCAGGAGAGTGATGGAATACTCCCCACTTAACTGGATGGTTGCAACTCCAACAACACTCAAGAAGCTTGAAACCATCCAGGACAAACCCTCCTGCTTGAATTGCACATTATCCACAGGCACCTACTCCCTTCAGCACCAATGCAGTATTGCAGCTGTGTATACTATCTACAAGGTGCACTGCAGAAATTAACAGACCGAAGATCCTGAGACAGCATTTTCCAAATCCACGACAACTTCTGTCTGGAAGGACAAGGACAAGAGGATACATGGGAACACCACCACCTGCAAGTTGCCCTCCAAGCCATTTACCATCCTGGTTTGGAAATATCCAATATCTTTTCCTTCACTGTCACTGGACAAAGTCAAAAATCACATGACCCCAGGTTATAGTCCAACAGGTTTATTTGAAGTCACAAGCTTTCGGAGTGCAGCCCCTTCATCAAGAGCAGTGAGAGAGAACACACAGACACAAAGATTATAAGCAGAGAGATGAAAGGCAGAGAGATCAAAGGATCATACAACTGGTGTGAGTGGAGTGAACAAATCTAAAATGGCTGACTGACTGCCTTCAGCAACTCTGTGTCTGTGTGCTGTCTTCTCATTTCACCTGATAAAGGGGCTGCGCTCTGAAAGTTTGCGATTTCAAATAAGCCTGTTGGACTATAACCTAGTGTGGTGTGATTTTTGACTTTGTCCACCCCAGTCCAACACCGGCACCTCCACATCTTCACTGTCGCTGGGTCAAAATCCTTGAATTCCTTCCCTAAGGGCATTGTGGGTAACACTCTAATAAGTGGACTGCAGCGGTTCAAGGAGGCAGCTCTTTCGAGTGCTACATGGGATGGGAAATAAATGCTAGCCAGCCAGCGATGCCCACATCCCATAAGTGAATAAAAAAAATTCCATGCTCCAACAACACTCTGCATAAATATCAAGCCTCTCAGCTAACTCAGTTGCTACTTTAAATTGATGATTGCTTATCACTTTCATACCAGCCTCATCTCACCTTATTACAGTCTTGATGCAAACATGGACAAAAGAGTTGACCTCAAGAGGTAAGGTGAAAGTCACTGCCCTTGACATCACGGCAGCAGTTGACCAAGTATGGTAATAAGGAGCATGAGCAAAACTGAAGGAAATGCAAATCAAGTGGAAAGCTCTTCACCAGTTGTGTCAAACCCAGCACAAAGGAAGCCAATCATCACAGACCAAGGATATCAGAATAGTGTCATAGGTCCAATCATCTTCAGTTGCTTCAGCATTTAACTTCCTCCATCACAAGGTCATAAATAGTGATGCTTGCTGAAGATTACATAATGTCCAGCACTGTTTGTGACGCCTTAGATAACGAAGCAGCCCTTTCAAACAGCAAGACCTGGACAACATCCAGGCTTAGGCTGATAAGTGCTAAGCAATATGCACAACACACAATTATGAGGCAATGGCAATCCTCAACAAAAGAGAATCTAACAATCTCCTTAACAGTCAATAGCATTATCATCACTGAACACCCCACCATTAACAATTTAAGATTTAACATTGACCCAAAACTTAACTGAACTAACCATATAGATACTGGTCAGAGGCCAAGACTCCTGCAGTCAGTAACTCACCTTCTGACTCCCCAAAGCCTGCCCACCATTTGGCAAGGCTTAAGTGAGGGACATGATATAGTACTGTGCACTTGCTTGGATGAGTGCAGCTCCAACAACTCTCAAGAATTTTGACACAATCCAGAACAAAGCATCTCACTCATACGGCACCTCATCCACCACCTTAAACATTCATTCCCTTCAGCATCGATCCACCAACAAATACAGCAGAAGTAGTGAGTATCATCTACAAGATGCACTGCAGCAATCTAAGAAGCCTTTCAGCATGTTCCAAACATTATTTCAATATAAAATAAGTCACTGTGCAAATATATATTTAACATCATATGATTGGTTTTTCCTTGGCCATTATCAAGATTTGAAGCATGTGTACAGTAAGAATTGGTATAACACACAAATAGATGCAATACAGTGACAGGTAGTTAAGAGTTTTGCTAAAAGCAGTAACTTGCCATGAATACTGTGACTCAATAAGTTCCAGCCAAAATGGAGATAATCCGGTATTTCTCTCATCAATATCATTTGGAAAACACACTGCAGCAAGTGACTGAGATTTATTTTCCACATTATTTCTGTATAACCGTCCTCCACTCGCTGCATTTTACTGGAGAAACCATCCTGTCTTTTATCAAACGATTCCTGTTGTTTGGATCACGAGTTGCCATAGCTCATGGGGACTCAGTTTAAATACACTGTACTTGTTGTGAAGTAGACGCTATTTGTTGTGAGTCACTAAATTAGAATAGCTCACCTCCAATGCAACAGCCAATAAACTGTCTTCAATATTATTCACTGATCTTTCCATGAGTTGGACGTCAGCTCTGCTGATCATACCTTTAACATGGGTTGTTCAATGTCTAGGAGAGCTTGGCCCGTCTACAGAGAGCATTTGCAAGAAAGTGGGAATTTATCTTTATGCAAGCAGAAGCACAAGCAAAGTGAGTATGAGAGAGTTTATTTTCTTTTTGATATTTTCCTATTTCAGTCAGTTCTCAGCAGAACCAAAATATTTATCTGGCTCCACCTCCATTAAACTGCTTGGCTGAAAGTGCAATTACATGCAATCTTAACATAACATTTCATGCTAATCTGAAATGGAACCCAGCCCCAACAGTGGCCCATCACCAATATTACTTCTTCTGTCAATAGAACATTACCCCCCATTGCTAAAAGTCTGAACTGCAAACTTGGTCATTTCAAAAATGGACTTTTCTCTATCTTCACTGGCCTCCCTGTCACCAGACCTCATGCCCACCAGCTCACCAGAACTCAGTGTCACATCCCTATACCTAGGCAAATCTTTGCACAATCATCAGACTTAGAAGCCCTATGCTATGTCATAGCACATTAATTTTAAGATCCTCATACTTATTTTTGAATTTAGGCATCCATCAGCTCATGCTGTGATTCAGGATTAGCCATCACTCTCAGAGATTCATCGTTAAAACATAGAAAGATAGAAAATAGGAGGAGCAAGCAAATTGGCCCTTTGGCCATTCCAAGTGGTCATGGCTGATCATCCAACTCATTACCCTGTTCCTCCCCATATGTTTTAAACCCTTTGTCTCTATGAACTATATCTATCTCCTTCTTGAAAACATTCAATGTTCCGGCTACAACAGCTTTCTGTCACAAAGAATTCCACTGGCTGGGTGAAAAACTTCCTCCTCATCTCAGTCGTAAATGACATACCCTGTATCCATGGACTGTGACCCCTGGTTCTAGACTCCCAGATCATCAGGAACATTCTTCCTGCATTTACCTTGTCCAATTCTGTTAGAATTTTATAGATTTCTGTGAGATCATCCCTCATTCTCCTAAATTCCAGTGAATGTAATCCTAACTGATCCAGTCTCCCTCCATACCAGAGATCTGCCATCCAAGAAATCCATTTGGTAAACTTTTGTTGCACTCCCTGCATAGCCAGAACATCCTTCCTCAGAAAAGGACACAATACTCCAGGTGTGGTCTCACCAAAATCCTGCATAATTGCAGTAAGACATCCCTGCTCCTGGACTCAAAGACAGAGTCAAAAAGCAGTGTAATTCCCTTACCTAAAACACTCTCCCTTTCTCCCTGTATCAAAATGCCTCCTAAACATTAATCTTCTGACCCCACCCACCTACAATCTTTCTTATTCTACTTAACTTTCAGATTCTGAGGTTTTTCTTTTACGTTGAGAAGTACAACTTAATAAAGATAAATTGTTGCTGATGTGTCAAAGAGAAATAAATCTGATTATCACATTATTCATTTGACAGAGTTGATAAGAAAAGGGACAAAATTGAAAGAAAAATTCTTGACAGTCAGGAAAGAGCATTCTGGGACGTGCACAGACCAGTGGTAAGTAATTTTTGTATGTAAAGAAATGAAGCATTGAAAATTCTTCATGATTTTCAGTTTTGGGCTGGTGTAGCTGAGAAACACAGATATGAATATTAGAAAAGAATCAATTTATAAGTAGAACTATCTCTAAAACTGTTGCTTTCCAGCTGAAATGTTTGTCCAGTTATAGCAGTTCTTTATCAATAGGATTCTTGCAGTGCAGACTGGAAATAGCTTTTACAGTACTTTTTAAATGTACACAAATATCTGTACTGGTAAGTGCAATGGATATTGGGTATTTCTGTACTGACAAAACGAGAAAATTCTTCACAGACCTCTACAAAGAATCGGATATTCCTTTGAGCTAAATCAAGTTTGATCATGTTAAATTGAAATAAAATTCTTATTTTATCTTAAAGAAGCTGCTGAAAATATAACAATGTGTTAATTCAATTAGTGGCCTAAATATGGATTGGATTATTTAAACTGTAATGCTATCTCCCAAATTGGACAAACCACAGCACAAATCATAAAGGTGACCATGAGGCAACATGTTCTGTTGACCATTGTTAGTGGTATTTTAACAAGAAAGGGGCACCAATTTAAGGTGGGGAGGCAATTGCCTAGTGGTATTATCGCTGGACTGTTAATCCAGAGACCCGGATAACATTCTGGGGACCTGGGTTCGAATCCTGCCATGGCAGATGGTGGAAATTGAATTCAATAAAATATCTGGAATTAAAAATCTAATGATGACCATGAATCCATTGTCGATTGTTGGGGAAAACCCATCTGGTTCACTAATGTCCTTTAGGGAAGGAAACTGCCATCCTTACCTGGCCTGGCCTACATGTGACTCCAGACCCACAGCAATGTGGTTGACACTGAACTGCCCTCTGGTCAATTAGGGATGGACAATAAATGCTGCCTAGCCAATGACATCCTCATCCTGTTAATGAGTAAAGAAAAAAAAGACTGAGATAAAGAGGAATTTCTTCTCTCAGAGCATTGTCGATCTTTGGAACTCTTTGCCACAGAGAGCTGTGGGACCAGATTCCTTCTGTATGCTTAAGGCTGACATAGATAAATTCTTGATCAGTTGAAGATTCAAGGCTTATGGGGAAAGGGCAAAAAAGTGGATGTGAGGAATGTCAAACATGATCTTATTGAATAGCAGAGCAGGTTTGAGGGGCCAAATGGCCTATTCCTGTTCCCATTTCTTATAGTCATATGGTCTCAAGTAGTGCAGAATGAGGAAGATTGATTAGTGACCACATCACTGAATATCTTCCCATACTGCTACATATCAATCCCTTGTGAGATCTTAAGGTGAGCATTGGAGCTCTTACACAAACAAACGTGAACACAAAACTTTCGTTTTAATATTGTAGCATTGCAAACTTAGGTTTATTAGGACACAAGACCACCAAATACAATGAGTGTTACTGGATTTTGGTCCATCAATGGAAGGACTAGTGGGAATCTGCAATGTATAATGCAGTTATCATGTAATCAGGCACTTAACCTGGAAATTCTCAGGCTCAGTAGGGTAGAACACCTACCCCCGAAACCTATAGGAGGCCAACAGCTGTCCAGTACTGGCAGTGCCACCTAGCATGCAGCTAATGCTGGTCTTAGAGTCTTGGAGAGATCAGACATGGATTGACAATAGAGAGAAGTGTGGGCAGAATCGTAATCATAAAGAGAGACTGGGGGCAGGAGGATCAACACTAAGAACTGTGGAGTGGCTACTTGCTGGCCTTGCATTATGCTGACCCATGATGCTTTTCTAAACTACAAACCTTTTGCCTCTATGCAGTCTATATCATTCTATTTCCTGCCTATTCATAAATATGTCAAGATGCCTCTTAAATATTACTATAGCACCTACCTCTACCACCTCCTCTGGCAACGCATTCCAGGCACTCGCCACCCTCTATGTTAAAAGCTTGCCTCTCACATCTCCTTTAAACTTACCCCTCTTTTACCTTAAACCCGTACCCCTTAGTAACTTACATTATTATCCTTGAAGAATGACACTTACTATCTATTCTATCAATGCCTGTCATAATTTTGTAAACTTCGATCAGGCTGCCACGCATCTTTCAATGTTCAAGTGAAAACAAATCAAGTTTGTCTAATCTGTCCTCGTAGCTAATACCGACCAAACCAGGCTGCATCTTGGTAAACCTTTTCTGTAACCATTTCCTCTCCAAAGCTTCCACATCCTTCTTGTAGTTGGTCACCAAAACTATACACAGTATTCCGAATGTGGCTTAACTAAAGTTCTATACAGTTACAACATGACTTGCTAGTTTTTACACTGTATGCCCTGATCAATGAAGGCAAACGTGCCATATGCCACCCAGGTCCGTCAACATGGTAAAACCTTCCACATTAGACAGGGGTTCACCTGCACATCCGTTAACTTTGTCTACTGTGTCCAATGCTACCGATGTGGCCTCCTCTACATCGGTGAGACCAAGCGGAGGATCGGAGACCGTCTTATAGAGCATCTGCGCTCTGTTCGCGACAAACAACAACACCTTCCAGTTGTGATCCATTTTAACTACCCCCCTCGCTGAGTGATATGTCCATCCTGGGCCTCCTCCAGTGTCAAAATGACGCCACCCGCAAACTGGAGAGCAGCACCTCATATTCCGCCTCGGGAGCCTACAGCCTGATGGCCTAAATGTGGATTTTACCAGTTTCAAAATCTCCCCACCCCCAGCCTCATCCCATGACCAACCCTTCCTCTCATCCCCGCCTCCTTGACTGACACAACCTGTCCACCTTCTCTCCCACCTATCTGCCCCTTCCACCTCACTGACCAATCCCCACCACTCCCTACCTGCACTCACCTATCACCATCCCACCTACCTTCCCCAGCCCCACCCCTCCTCTCTATTTATTTCTAAGCTCCCTTCCCCCTCCTATTTCTGAAGAAGGGTCCTGATTCGAAACGTCAACTTTCCTGCTCCTCTGATGCTGCCTGGCCTGCTGTGTTCCTCCAGCTCCACGCTGTGTTATCTCTGGTTTTCGTGATGGACTGGACTGTGTTCACAGCTGAATATTTTTTGGCGGTCTTGGGTACAGTAGTTGCCATTCTTAGCTCTGATGCAACCAGGTAGAATGATTTCCATGGTGCATCTATAAAAAATAGTAAGAGTTATTGTGGACATGCTGAATTTCCTTAGCCATCTGAGGAAGTAGAGCCATTGGTGTGCTTTTTTGATTGTAGTGCTGACGTGGATGAACCAGGATAGATTGTTGGAGATACTTATTCCTAGGAACTTGAAGTTCTGGACCACCTCTAACTCACTTTCTTTATCTTATAAACAACAGGGGTCCCAGCACGAATTCCTGCAGAGCATCACTGGTCATCGATCTCCAGTCAGAAAAACACCCTTCCACTGCTACTCTCTCTCTTCTATGACTAAGCCACTTCTGTATCTATCTTACCAGCTCACCATGGCTCCCATGTCACCTTTTGTGTTAGCCTGCATGAGAGACCTTGTCAAAGGTCTTGCTAAAGTCAATATAGACAACACCTACCACCATGTCCTCATCAATCATATTTATCACTTCCTCAAAATATTCAATCAAGTTTGTGAGACACGACTTTTCCTCTCTCAACCAATGATATAGTCCTGTTCTGGTAGTAGGCAGTTTATTTAAGGTCAAAAGGCGTCGGATAATTTTGATTACCGTCAATAATATTGTTTTTTTTTCAAAAAACTATATTATTATGGTTCTGGGAAGTGTGTATAATAAGTTGAAATTGTTGGCCTCAAAAAACAGTAAGAAAATCTTCAATTATAATGTTTCAGCAAGCAATTTAACTACCTTTTGGAGGAATGAGCAATGCAGAATTGGACATAGAGGTAATAACCTATGCTAAAAGCTTAGAAGGATGGCCAAAGTTATTCATTCCTTTTGCAGTGCAGTCTCAAGTCTCTGTTGTAATATTTGAAGGTGCTATCAGCTCCATCATAAATGCAGAAATAAAAAGAACCTTTGATAATGTTCAGCAATATATTTTAAAACAGTTTGCAATCTTTTGTATTCAATGTATGACATACTTCTTTGCAGCAGTGGATTTGCCACAGTTAAAATAAGCATTCCAATATATTTAAGTAGTTTCATCTTTTTTTTGTAAGGTATTTTCACGCATCTGGTTGTTGCATCCATTGGGAAGTAGAAACATAATGTTTGTGGTGCAAAATAAAAGCCAAACAATTCATTCACTAACAATATAATGTTTTCAGAAGGACCAGCAAGGAGTTACTTTTTGTGAAATGCAAATTGGTGCCTGTGATACGTTTGTTTAAGAAATCCATAAAATTTCATTAAAAGATATTCACTGTACTTCCTGCATTACTGAAGCTGGTCAGCAAATCAAAATAAAGATGCTACTGTGTAGATTTAACTGTCTAAGAATGAAATTATTAAATAGGGTGGAAGTTCAGTATCCTACTAATAACCAATTTACAACAAGTGCTTTTGGAGCCCCAGAAACATGATGCATGTGCGTGCACATACACACACATGCACTTGTGGGTGAATTACTTTGAGCACCTTACTGATGAAGGCATTGGCATGGTACATTGAATATTCACCAGAGTAGGCAGTTCACAAAGGTAATTAGCATGCAAAACTGATTTGCTGGGAGTGGTGCTATTTTGAAGCTCAGTTCTTTAGCCAACACGTTCTCTCAACAATGCACAACTGAGATCACATTTAGGAGCAGGAGGAGGCACGCAACCCTTCTGCAGCACTAGTTAAAGGGATCATCAGTTGGTTATCAGTTGATTTCTTTTGTTTATTTCGACAATTTTGCAAGTATTTTGGTGCTTTCGACAGTTGTTTCAAGTTGTGAGCCTGTGCGGAATGGTATCAGCTGCTGAAAGATTCTCTCCAGCTTTAAGATTTCTGCATGAACTAGTTCCTACTAGTATCATAGCCCTTGGAATGCAGCAAGACTTGCAGAATGAACAGTGGTCATGCAAAACAGACAA